TATGGTTAGGAAACATAACCATCTTTGATTAATGAGCTAGTCAAGTAGAGGCATACTAGTGACACTCTGTTTGTCTATGTATTCACACATGTATTATGTTTCCGGTTAATACAATTATAGCATGAATAATAAACATTTATCATGAAATAAGGAAATAAATAATAACTTTATTATTGCCTCTAGGGCATATTTCCTTCAGATTACACTCTCCCATCTCGTTGCTATGCATCACCATGATCTTGCGTGTGCGTAGGAAATTTTTGAAATTACTATCTTCCCCAACAATCAGGTCACCGGAAAGGAGTTTCGGGCACCCTCGGCAAAGATATGGGCCTTATGGGCCAAGTGAGGGAACACACCAGCCCTAGTGCGCTCCTATAGAGTCCAACCCTATGAGGAGGAGAAGGAAAGAGGGGAGGGCAAGGAAAGTGTGGATTAAGATTCCTACTTTCTTCCCTCCCCCCTCTTTCCTTCCACCTCGGTTATATATGGCAGGGGGCGCGCGGTTTGGGAGGGACTCCAAGTAGGATTCCTCCTACTTGGGCACCTCCTATGGCTGCTCCTCCCTCCCTCCCACCTATATATATGAGGAGGGGGCGCCTAGCACACAACAGACAATTGCCTAGCCGCGTGCGGTGCTCCCCTCCATAGTTTACACCCTCGATCATATCTTCGTAGTGCTTAGGCGAAGCCCTGCGAGGATCACTTCACCATCACTGTCACTATGCCGTCGTGCTAACGGAACTCATCTATTACCTCGACGTCTTGCTGGATCAAGAAGGCGAGGGACGTTACTGAGCTGAACGTGTGCAGAACTCGGAGGTGTCGTGCGTCCGGTACTTGATCGGTCGGAGCTAGAAGAAGTCCGACTACATCAACCACGTTTTCAAACGCTTCCGCTTACGGTCTACAAGGGTATGTAGACACACTTTACCCTCGTTACTATGTATCTCCATGGATAGATCATTGCGTGTGCGTAGATTTTTTTTTCATGAAACGTTTCCCAACAATTATGCCAAATAAGTGATCATGCATAGGTTTTCGTTGTGGCTTAATGTTTGGGAACTATGGACCTTTAGAAATAATGTCTCTTTCTAGCTCTTTTGATCAGCCCCCTTTATTTACCACACACACACCCATTCAAGAGAAAGCCGAATAATATTTGTTTGTAGTGTTATCACTACATACGGTAACAAACTCATAGCCGAAATCCAAGCTATCACGCTTGGTGGATCGTTCATTGGCCAGCGGAGTCCTCAACATAAGATCAAGAAGGGTGATGAAGCCACATTTACACACGGAAATGCGCATATAGTAGCAAAGGCCATGGAACCAGCCAGAGGCTGTAACACCATGTTGAGATATACTACACAGATTTTTGGCATAATCTCACCCACCTATCAGCTAAGTTCCTCTAGAAAATTTAATCCACAAGTTCTATCAAGTCCATTAAAATTAAAGCATGGGATTGAGCATGTTTAAACATCACTTCCCTACAATTTTTCAACTCCCAAGTCTTGAAAGACTTTCTTTTGTGCAAAGTTGTACTTGGTTAATTTCATTTTATTTCAAAATTAGTCCCACGACAAGTCTTAGTTGTCTAAACTAATGAAAACAAAGGCTACAAAATTATTTTAGCTACTGGAGCAAAACCTTTGTATCAACTAAACCTGGGCAAACGTCGGGCCGGGCCGGGTTTCGGGCCGGGCTTGTAAAAGCCCGACCTTCATTTCTCAAGCCCGAGCCCGGCCCGAAGCCCGAAATACTCCATATTTTCAAGCCCAAGCCCGGCCCGAAGTCAAGCCCAAAGCCCGAAAGCCCGGCCCGAATGCTATTTTCTAGTACGCGCATGTGCAAGCCCGGCCCGAAGCCCGAAAGCCCGGCCCGAAGCCCGAAAGCCCGGCCTGAAATACAGGAAAAGTGAAGCCCGAGCCCGGCCCGAACTATCTTTCAGGCTGCAAAACAAAGCCCGAGCCCGGCCCGAATGTCAAGCCCGGCCCGGCCCGGCCCGGGTTTTTTGGGCCGGGCTCGGGCCGGGTCATCGGGCCGGGCTGCCCATGCCCGGGTTTAGTATCAACTATCAAGACTCACTCCCATCCACACATATTACATATACTACTACTACATCTACTCTGAGTATCCAAGAGCAAAAGACGGGGGTCGTATGACATACCTTCACGTTGCGAATTTACACACTTCTCTTCCTTACTCTTGCATTCCTCGTTGTCCTGGCATAGATCAACTCCTGTGATAACAAAATGTAAATAAACTCCAAGGGGCTAAATAAGAACAAGAGCAAAGCAAAGCTTATTCTATTTGGGGGGGGGGGTTGAAAACTACCTTGCAACCGAAAAATCGCAAGGTCAAAATCAAATAAAAATAAAAAAGCAAAGTGTTGGAACATACCAACTTTCAAGCTCCTTGAGCTTAAGTACAACCTCATTACAATTTTTTCATTTACCGCCACATCTTGATGTAGAAGTGGTGATAACCTCCCCCAAGCTTAGGCTCTTGCAAGCCCAAGCCGGCGAGATCATTGTGTCGGTTGGTTAGGAGCCTACTCTTGGCTCTAGTTGGAGAAGTTAACGATCATGTAGGCGGACGTGCTCCTCAGGGACGACACGGGGTTGCTCATATCATCAATAGAAACATGAAGGTCGTTAAGGTCTGCGTAAGTGGTGTAGTCTTGCTGGAGCTTCTCTTCCTCTTTGTCGGTGGCGAGTTCTTCTTCATCTGCTTGTCCAGGTTCTGGCCCTTCTTGGTCAAAAGCCACATCTCCTTCCTGTGTAACATAATGCAACTTTCCATTCTCGTGGAGAAACAGCTAGGCATAGGAGTGGATAGCAAGTACGCCACTCCAGGAATTTTGATACAATGACGGACATCATGCTTTACCTCATGCTACTTCATGTGATTGCCTGCAGCATTATTATCATAGTGATTAAACCTGTGTTATTGCAGGTCTGTGCTATAATTGCTTCTTACGCCGATAAACATGGTCGTCAGCACCATGCTTGATTGAGCTGTTTTTCCTTCGTACCTTATTTCCGTTGTTGTGTTTGTGGTCTATTCAAAACATTTGAAAGAACTTTTGAATCTCCCATTCACCCCCCCCCCTTTGGTCGATATACTCTCGGTCCTACCAGAATTATTGTTGTAATATTTATCTTTCAACGGCATAAGAATTGTGCTATTTATCTTTGAAAATTTTGAGTACTTCGGGTATAGACCAAAACCGAGAGCAAAGATTTGGTGGTTGTGGTTGGATGCCTCAACCCCTATCACTGCCAAGTTGCCCTAACATTTGGTGATGTCCGTTGCCGTGATTGGCATTGGAGTTGCCCCAACATTTGGTGAGGTCTGTTTTGGTGGTTCGCATTGGAGTTGCCCTAACAAATTGTAGTTCATTCCTGTAGCGTCAAACATCTCATTACTATATATATGCTCAATTATTATTTTTAACCCCCAAACAGCAGGAGAGGCTCCCATTGTATATTCAATTAAATAAAAGAAAGATTGTACATAATATACATACAACCTAGCCACTTTGGGCTAGGTCCAAGAAAAAACCAGCAAACAACAACGGGGAGCTAGTGTCTAAAAATTTCAGTAATTATCTCAGATGTGCAAAATAATTATAGGCTCATGCCGTATTTGCTTGGTTATGCAACACAAGCTAATGCATTCACAGTCGAGTCGGCACCATAAACATACAAATTATAATGCACTCCGACATTGGCCGAAGATCCATGGAACTAGTATAAACTCTTGCGAGAAAATGTACCTCCAATGCAGCTCCAAGCAGTATGCTTATATATATTTTAAATATCATGAATCAGACATGTCTTTAACGAACACTTTGATAAATTAAGGGTCTCTTGTTTTGTGATGACTATGGAACTGCCTATAGAAAAAAAATCGCATTTTTGATAGGCCGCTATGGAACACTTCTCTACATTTTTCCTTTTGCATCAGTCAATTCGTTGCGAGTCGTTCGATTAAAAACGAGTGACCAGATTGTCCTCTTCTTCCTCCAACCACCCCCTCCCCCTCAAACTGTTCATCTTCTTCCTCCTACCCAACAAAAATACGAGCCATGGTTTCTTCCTTCTCCCTCCCAACCCGTCTCCTGTCTCGCCTCCAACGAGGTCCCGTCTGATCCCTCATCGGGGATGCAATGTCACTTCCGTCTCTAATTCGGACTTCTCCAATCCAAGCTATGGTCAGAGTTAAAAGCCTCCCTTCCAACCACACAGTCAAACATGCGACTCGCCTCCGCTTGTGACGCCGCGTCGTCAACGGCTCCGCCTCGGGTGTTGCGTCTCCTTTACGAAAAATCGATCGGCGCAATTGCGATTTTCAAGCAACTGGTTGATGATGAATGGCAACACGGAACAAGTTTTATTATAGATTCTTGCATTTTCAATTCCTGCAGAGCATTCCAATTTTATTATATGGTTCTTGGAACCGAAGCATTTGACAAAATGGAAACAAAAGTAGGCAAAACCTCACTAGAATATTTACCAACTTGGACTGGGGACTGACTGCCCTCGCAACGACAGCCCACCCCACACGAGGGGAGTGAAGTCCAACACACGCGCACCAACCCTCCTCCTTTCCTTCTCCCCACCTCGCCTCCTCCCCAAACTCCGCGGATTCTCCTCGCCGCTCTCCAATCCGGCCGTCCCTGGGCAGTCGCCGTCGCCGCCCGAGCCCCCGACGAAGCATCGACCCCTTCCCGCCGCCGCCTGCCTCGTCGCCGGCGCATGAGAGGTGAGCTCCTCCACGCATCCCGTCTCACCCCCCATCCCGTCCGTCGGTGCCTTCTTGCCGTCGCTGCCACGTCCTCGGACCAGGAGCGTCCCCGTGCCTCCCTGTACCCACCTCGCTCCGTCTTCTCCTGCCGCGGAATGTGATCCGGGTAACCAACGGGTGCCGGTGCGGATTCGGTCGCCTGCCGGCCGGCCGGCCGGCCGAGATGTGGATCAGCTCATCCTCCGATGGGCCGCGAGTTCGTGAGGAGGATGGCGTCGATGCGTCGCGCTACGCGCTACGCGCCCTCCTCCTTACCCGCAGCTCCCTTGCTAGTAGCCGGTTGGTTCGATTTGTCTGAAGCCGTAGTTCCATTGCAGGCGACGAACGTCCTAGGTGGAGAGTATTTTCCATGGAATCAAATTGATGAAACTGGCAATGAGACGTTTCTTGTCCTCGACGCAGGCCGGGTTTTTAGAGGAACACATTCCAATGTGGGATGTTGCTCACCATACCTGTGGTGGATGTGCATCTGAACAACATCAGAGGCTTGATCTGCGCTTACTACCCTTACCCTGTAAATGAATGTGCAGACCAGCCACTTGCAACTAACAAGAGTGCTCTTTGACCATTGCCCGTCTATGAATTTCACACTCTGTCCTGCCAATGATTTTGGTTATTGGTGGCAAATCTTATCCCTTGGCTGGCATCTAGGACTCGTGCCTTCAGTTTACGTTTATTGCGCTGATTCACTGATCTTTACGGGTGCTGGCATCAATGACCAACTGTTCCCTCCATTCCCTACTTTCCTCAACAATGCGCATTTATGTGCTGCATTACTCCGCCTAGCTTTGGGTTGAAATGGGAGCTCCAGCCTTCCAATCTTTTTTATTTTCATTCATGTACCAAACAGTTGATGGTTGTATTTACTTGATCACACTTAAGTTTGTCTGCATAGTCTACATTTCCATATTGAGTTAATACTTCTGATCGTTGCTATTTCCAGTGAATCATGGGAGGATTTTGCTGCTGCCTTTCCACAGACGATTTTGAGGAATATGTTCATCCAAATAATCCTGTCTATAGACAATGCATATCCCTAAGGCATTTGTTTCACAACATGTTTGGGGGGGTAATGTTACCTCTTACTATATGAATTTTCCAGTATGCAAAATGCAACCACATATGGTTATACATGTACATTTAATCTTCTGGTTTCCAATTTATCATACATCTTCTTATGGTAGCATGCTGATCTAATTATCCAAATTGCCACTGCTATGTTGAGTACATGCTATTTTATGGCAAATAGCATAATATGCTAGCTTATATGGAGGAGTATTTTAGATGGCACATTTGGTGCCGCTGATGTTTGTTGGACAAAAATATAACACCAATGGCGAACTGTACAATGGTCGGTACACAACATTTATGGAAGGCAAAAGATGGTAGAGACTAGAGAGACCACTGACCTGTTCTTGATCTTGCATAAGTATTTATCTTTTGATTGTGTTCAACCACATTTACATGCTTTATGGTGTATGCACATTGTCTGGGCAGATTCATTACAAAGAGAATTAGAGAAATCACAAACAAATATAGAGCATGTGTGGCACATTTCATTTTCAATGATTTTTCATGTTATAGTACATTTATTTTCATACTGAATGCTTATTCTAACTCCAGTATTCCTCTTTGGTCCATGTAGTATACTGCAGCATTCCAGAGGCTCGACTCTAGGCCAAGCAACCCAGCTCAAGGAGCTGCGCCATTGGCATCCACTAATCCAAGTACTAATATAACTGAGAGTTCGCTGTCTGAAACTTTTCACCTTGTTTCTAGACCACCCCCATATGACATTGACCCTAGATATGCCCGAGTGCAAAGAGAGGGACTGGTATCAAGGCGTGAAAAGTCTATTAACCTCACGCATGAAGAGTCCCCAGGTCTTAGACGAAATGGCAGCAGCTCTGGTGTCGAGCATTTAGCTGCTCAAAAGAAAAGGAGCAGCACTGATCCTGAGGGTGAACATAAGGTGCGTCGTTCTGAATCGACTAAGAGTCTTTCTGGAAGAGCATATAACAGCAGTTATGCCGTCATCACTTCAGACGACGAAGATGTCTGCCCTACTTGTCTGGAAGGTTTGTTCGCATGTGTTTTTATCTGAATACAGAGGCCATGTTATGGTATCTGTGAACATTTTCTCACTGCTTACTCATCGTGTAGAGTACACCCCGGAGAATCCACAGATCATAACTAAATGCTCCCACCATTTCCATCTAAGTTGTATTTATGAGTGGATGGAGAGGAGCGACACCTGCCCAATTTGTGGGAAGGTAGGAGATTTCGTGCTCCAGACTTTATATATTCCTACTAAGAAATGCATTATGTCTGCATGCCTGACAGCTCGCATAATCTGTTGGGATTGCAGGAAATGGAGTTCTGCGAGAGCCCCTGAGAGATACTTCCATGCTGGTCGCATCGGGAAGAGCGGGAAAAAGTATCTACAGCATGGGATGCTGGAGAGTCTGTAAATAATACCCTAGTTCTTTGCTGTCGAAAACCTATCTCGTTCTCGGGATCAACTTCTTATGTGTACTCAAGTCAGTCTACCAAAATGCCGTGCTGGATATTTCCTGTATATTGTGAAATGACTATTTCAGCGGTGGAATTTGATAGTACTACTCGCTCCAGATGGGAATATAAGTCGGGCGTGGGTCTTAGGTTTTCGATTGGCTAGTGAAACATGTGGTATGCCAAAAAAAAACAATCTTTAGATTCGTCGTTGAATGATTTTCTAGACAAGAGTTCTTTTTGGCATATTACACATGTTTCAGTAGTCAAATTGACGACCTAAAATCATGTACCTGACTTATATTCCCGACCGGAGGGAGTATTTTAAAAAAATTTGTTCAAGCTAATGGGTCCTCGTGAGAGCGTGAAGCACAGCAAATACTCCCTCCGTTCCTAAATATAAGTCTTTTTAGACATTTTTAATGAACTACAACATATGGATGTATGTAAATATATTTTAAAGTATATATTCATTCATTTTGCTCCGCATGTAGTCATTTGTTGGAATCTCTAAAAAGACTTATATTTGAGAACGGATGGAGTACTACATTGGCTCATTATTGCTGTGACAATAGCCTACTTCACATTCACCACTGTCCGAATCAAGTGTGTGCCCAAGGTGTCATGTGTTTAAGAGTATATACATCTAAAAGTAAAAGAAATACTTTATCAATCTGTGTAAGCTTCTAGTCTCTGTCTACCTCCCGCCTCCTTTCAAGCCAAGTAGAGGACTTCGACAGACCAACGCTTGACAGTAATAGTTGTGGGCGCAACTTACTTTTCTTCTTCCAAAACGAAGGCAAAAAGATTTGTCACATCCATCAATTAAGCATAAGAGAATTGCTCAGTTAATTGACAGAAAACAGGCAAAAAAACGGTCACGGTCCGCTCTAAGTTTCAAAAGTTCACCCAAAATATATGATCTTCATCGATGTGAGCTGTATAAGGACAATTTTGAGCACGCACATACACCCTCCGTCCGAAAAAGGTTGTCCTAAGCTTCAAATCAATGTATCTAGCATTAACTAGAGACAAGCTTTTTCGGACGGAGGGAGTAGTTCCTACCGTAGTCCCTCAAATGGCAGAAAGATTAGTTTGGCCTCTAACTGTTATTCTTTAGTTGGATCAAAGTGTCGGATCAAAGTGTCGGTTAATGAAAACAGAACATGGGTCTGACATATTCCAAAACATTACTGAGCTAAGTTGCCAAAATTCTCATAATCTTGTAGGAAGTACGAATAACAACAGCAAGGAGAAATGCATTTCCCAAAGATACACAAATATGGCTCACTTGCTCAAAAACAATTGATCAGAAAACGAATAGCAGTTGCAAGCAACAAGCCTCAGTTACACAATGACAGCCAGGCGCACCTAGAATACAGAGAAGCTCAACCAGAAAACTGGTAGCATTTCATTTCCAAATGGAAGGAGAGAGCCAGCAAGCTGGCATTTTTATTGGGTATCGTTTGATGGCCAGCGCCGGTACCAAACCATTCTATCCGATAATTTTAGCGCCTACAGGTTGGCAGCGGTCTTGAGGGCGTTGCCCTTCTCCTCCAAGCTCGTGAGCAGACTGTCGAAGCTCCCCTTGAAGGAGCTCACACCCTCGTGCTCCAGCTGCTTGCCAACCTCTTCCCAGTCGATGCCCAGCTTCTCCAGGGCACTGTATATGCCCTCAGCTTCTGACACGTTAGCGTCGATTGTCCTAGCAACTGTGCCGTGGTCGATGAACGCGTCCAGAGCTTGGTCGGGCATCGTAGAGACCTGAATGTGCAAAGGGTGGAGAGCAAGTTAGGATGCGCTTAAAAGTTCTGAATATGTAAAAAATGACAAGTCGGTGATTATGATCCCGACGAACAAGACGGAGGGAACTTGCTGTTGAAACTCACGGTGTCAGGTCCAATGAGAGGATCGACGTAAAGAGTGTCCAAGTAAGCCGGGTTCTTCACGCTGGTGGATGCCCACAACAACCTCTGCTTCTTGGCTCCCTTCTTCACCAAAGCCTCCCACCTTGGGCCAGAGAATTTCTTGAGGTAAAGCTGGTTTGCTATCTTTGCTTGTGCTACAGCAGCCTGAGAGAAAAAAGGGTGGTTACTAATTCAAAACTTGGATCGTAGTAATTTAGAACACCCTACTACTAGGTGACATAAAACTTCAATTGTCTCTACCTTTCCCCTCAGGGCAAGAGCCTCAGGTGTTCCAATCTTCTCAAGCATTTTGTCGATCAGACTGTCAACTCGGCTGACAAAGAAGGATGCTACACTGGTCACTCGGGATAAGTCACTCAAACCAGAAGCCTCAAGCCCGTCAAGGTAAGCATCAATCACAGCCTCGTATCTTGCAACGGAGAAGATAAGCTGCAGCGACATCAATAAACTTGTGATCAATAGGTTTAGCATCAAAGTATATAACAAGCACAGCAAAGTTTACACTAAACAATATCATAAGAGGTCCAGTGGGAAAAAACACACAGATGATACATTGGCAACCAAGGAGATACTACAAGATAATGATGGCAAAGCCAGAGCTCAGCACTTACAGTGACATTGACGCTGATGCCATTAGCAATGACTTCCTTGATAGAAGGAACGCATTCTGCAGTAGCTGGGATCTTGATGTACACATTGGGGCGGTTGACCACTTTGTGTAACCACTTCGCAGCTTCGACGGTTCCTTGGGTGTCATTTGCCAGCCTAGGAGACACCTCCACTGAAACGTAACCATCAGCCCCATCGGTCTCGTCGTAGATGGGCTCAAACAGTTTGCACGCGTCTTGGATGTCCTTTATGACGAGTTCCCAGTAAGCGCTCTCTGCATCCTTCCCAGCCGATATAAGCTCCTTGAACTGACCGTCATACGCGTTTGATGAAGAGATGGCTTTCTGGAAAATCTGCATATTGTTGGGGACACAAGTCAGCACGGAACATTGCAGACACATCACACCTGAGCAATCCATATACAGCATATAAGAAAAATAAAATGGTGAATGGTGATTACCGTTGGGTTGCTGGTGACTCCACGGACACCGTTGGCGATGTAGGGCAGCAAATCGGTGACAGGCCGGCAGAGGTTGTCGTACCACGGGGACTGACCCTGTTGCTCATAGAGGTCATGGAGCGTGGTCCTCTTCGTCACGGCGCCGTTCCCCTCCTTGGCGGAAGCCATCGCACTGAAAATTCCATTTCGTGAAGAGCAAGAATTAACGTCACATCCAAATGGTTGCCGCATCGCATACATATATGATACAAACAAAATGAACTTTTTGTTCTTCGTTTTCTTTTGGCAAAAGGAACTTTCTATTCATGATCATGATTTATGAGCACTGTAAAATGTTCGAACTTTCGATGCATGTTGGCAACTTAGTGTAGTATACCAAGCTTATCCCTATCAATCAAGCAGGAAGATTACCAGAAACAGATGGAAAAACGGGAGGCTACGCTTATCCCTATCAATCAATCAAGCAGGAAGAATCCAGAAGCGACGGCCTGCTCTGGCGTATAGCCCAACCAACCAACCCGGCGGCGCGCTCGCATAGGATACATCGCCGTCAACCACGTAGCGACGAATCCGCGCACGGCAACACGGGCCATCTCGGCCGAGTTGACCGAGACGGCTCGCGAAACCATCCGATCCCGGCGGTCCATCCCCCATCGGACGGCCGCGCACGCGCGCCCAGGCCTCCCTCGAAGGACCTCGAGGCCACCGCGGATCCGAGCAAGGCGATCTACGCGGCGGCGTGGCAGCAGCGCTGCGATCCAACCCACCCACCGCGATTCGAACTATGAAAGCGTGAATAAGACAAAAAAAATTGTCCCAAATCACGGCCCGGCCGCTCTGATCCGACCGGGCCTCGCCGGCGACGCAACCCCAGCCAGTCAGTCGCCTTCCCACGGCGCCGCCGCAGCAGCTGGCCCCCGCGGAATCGCGAATCTTATCAGCCGGGGGCGCGAAGAGGAGGGGAAGGAGGAGCGGATGGTGTGTATAATTTCTCACATGACGGGGCTCCTGGCGCGGGCGGCGAGGGAGACGCGGAAGCGGCGGGCGGAGGGGGCGGAGGCGAGCGCGGCGGAGCGGAGGGGCTGCGAGGGGAGCGGCCCCGCGGCCGCCGGCCTCGGGGCGGCGAGCTTGGGCACGGTGCCGGCCATCGATCGCGGCTCTGCTTCCGACTCTCGGAGGGGTTGGTGAATGGTGAGGGGGACGGCTGGTTGGTCGCCCACGGGGGTTGTTGCGAGGTTTAGCGGAGCGGGGATCTCTCTCTCCCTCCTTCCTTCTTGTCCCTGCCGCTGGTCCTTGTCACCGTCAATAAATAGATGCGCCATTTCCAATGCCGTTTTACGATTAGACCCTTGTGGTTTCCGGTATTTGTGGCGTGCCGTGGGCTGGTGAAGGGGCGGAGCAGCCGTGCGCCGGTGGGGGTGTGTACGCGGGGGCATGTGAACGTGCCATGCCATGATCCGGTCGCGGAGATGCCTTGCAGTGGCATATTGCCGCTTTGCCTCTCCTTGGCACCACCACTTGTGAGGATTGAGGAGGCCAGAGGCCAAGCTAGCAAGCAACGTGTACTGCTCCGATCCAGTAGCGAAGAGCAACGAAGATCTGCTGGCTAATGAACATTGACGTGGTTTTTCTTCATGCGAAGGGAATCGAATCAAGTCCATCACTTTCTTGCGCCTTCGTTCTAGAAAATGGCGACAGGCTGCAGTTGGAGGCAGGGGATCGAATTAGCTGCTTTCCCCTTGAGAGCGACGATGTGTTGTGGTTGGCTCCCCATCGACAACGAGGGATGCCACGAAGAAATGGCTCTGGGTGAATCATAGTCAATTTTTACCTTCAAGATAAAACCAAAGATGGTAAATTTGTCCGTAAAAAGGAAAAAAGGCTAATGAATAGTGTCGTGTCCCGCAAAACATGCGGGAGATGTAGTTGAATTTGTCCACTTTCTTCTTGACAACGACGACGTTAGGTTGGAGTTGCCTAGAGTATGATCGGTAGCACGGAGGAGCGACTTGGTTCAAAAGTAGTTTAGATCTTCAAGAAATATCCAATGTTGTGAATTTCTTTCTGTTTCGCCCGCATACGACACATTGGCTTTGTTGTGTTTTCGGTAGCAAACATTTTGCGCATGGATTTCGGTAGCAAACGCCATGTTATGTGGGCCAATTGAGTAGGTCCACCTCTTTTCTCGTTGAAAAGATGTCGAGTTGAAATCGTCTCTCTTTCGACGACGATAGGCCACGGACAAATAAATCAGGGTGATGGATTGCGGTTTAGACCTCTGAAATACTTGTGCAAAATCATACGAAATTGGTGTGAAAATGCAAAAGAGGCTAAAAGTATATGCAGCCCTACATACAAGGAGAGAGAAAAGCAGGTTGTCAATGGAGCACAATGATGGGTTGGTGGCGTTTATGACGGGGTTGTTGACGATGTTAAGCCCGACCCCAATATTACCCTTATCCGGACCCTAAAAATGTCATCATCAAAAGATAAGCGGGTGACATAGTAATACTATTGTTATCACAACTTAATTAACACGGTGTTCCTAAACTCAGGTAGGTCCCTGGTCCTCGTATCTCCATGATCCGGTCGTGGAGATGCCCTGCAGTGGTATATTGCCCTTTTGCCCCTCTCTCTCACACACACACACCGCTCCTTGGTTTGAACCAATTAAGAAAACATAATTAAGCTACCACTTGTGAGGAGAGCAATGTGTACTGGTCCAATCCAGTAGCAAAGAGCAACAAGATCAAGTAGCCAATGAACAGTGCATTTTTTTTCATGAGACAGGGAATCAAATCGACCACCTTGTTGCCCCTTCATTCCAAAAAATGGCGATAGGTTGTACTTGGAGGCGGGGGATATAATTGGCCACTTTCTCTTTGAGAATGACGATGGGTTGTGGGCGGCTCACCGTCGACAACGATGGGGGGCACGAATAAATGGCTTGGATGAATTGTAACCTTTTGTTTTGAACTTTGAGATAAAACTAAGGACCCCCCCCCCCCTCCCTCCAAAATAAAAGAAAAGGATAAGACTAGCGATTGTAAATTTGTTCATAAAAAGAGAACAAAAACATCGACTGGTTAACGAATAGCGTCGTGTCTCGTGAAGCATGCGAGAGTCGTAGTTGATTTTGTCCACTTTCTCCTTGAAAACGACGTTAAATAGGTGTTGGCTTCTTATCGACAATGATAGGTAGCACAGAGAAATGACTTGGTTGAAAAAGTAGTTTAGACATCCCAGAAATATCCAGCATTGTGAATTTCGTTCTATTTCAATTGCATACGACGCCACTGCTTTCACCTTTTTTTATGACAAGAATCGTGGATCTCTCCCTAGGGCCTAGGTCGTACCATGTGTTTGTGCTCCAGATAAGCGGATCCTCCTCTTTCTAGTGGAAGATGATGTCGAGTTGAAGTTGTCTCTCTTTCAACATCGAAAGGTGTCACGAACAAATGAATTAGGGCGGATCGTGATTTAGACCGACCAATAGTATACATGTAGAGCTACGAATAATTGAACATATAAATCACTCTATGCAACCCGCCCTTCTAGCGCCATCACCGGTTGAAATCGATCCGGTACGCTCGATCCGCCTCTCTAGCCGTTGTCAGCGTACTTTTCATCCTCGTGGTAAACATCCGTGCACTCGTTCTTCTGTACACCGCATGACCAGGCTAAGCTGATGACAAATGGGCCAGCGTTATGCGTGGGTCCATGTGGCAGTCACACCGTGTGTGCGTGTCTGTGTCCGGGTGGAAAAGCCAGACCAGGCCGATTGTGGGCGATGTGGGGCTGTCAGGCGGGTCGGTGGATTGGCACTGGTCTACTCGCACCCTGCTTCTGTCTACCCAGCTGGGTCTCTTCCTCTTCAAGACCGTTGGTCCCACCCGTCTGTCTATTGGGTAAGTGCTGTGCGAGGTGAGGTGAGGCGCACTGAGCTCCTCTGTTTTAGCCGCTGGATAAAGACTTGCCTCGCTGGGTCAGAGTTGGTACTTGGACGCGCGTGGCCCTGTTCCGCTGCAAATGGCCCCTATCCACGCTGGTCTATATATGTCAGTGGGGTGGCTGTATCCTGTTGGGTTTGCTTAGGAGTTACAGCGCCTGCAACCACTGTTCCTGGCAGGGACGCGCGTGCCTCTCTCTCCTTCCCCATCAAGACTCGCTTCGCCCAATCCTCACCTCTTCGTACGTCTTCACAGGCCATCGTCAGCCGCCGCCGTCGCCCGTCATTGTCTTCCTCACTGCCTGCTTGCCATATAGCAATGGCTTTCCTCGCTGTCGCTGCCGCTGCTGTGTTCGGTTAGGGGGTAAGGATTTGCCTCCCCTTCCAACAAATCGATTTCGTTCTTCCAGTGCCAGCATTATGCGCTGATTTGTTACCGCCAAGGTCCAGGTTCCCACGCTCACGGTGAAGAGGCTATGGCAAAGGGCATGCAGAGGAGCAGCAGGGCTCACTTAGGGGGAGAGGGTGTTACAAAGGGGAGCCGTGAAGGAGGAGGGGCCGCGGCAGCAGGAGCTCGCGATGGCGGAGAAGATTCCGTGGCGGTGAAGCGGAGCTTGCATATGTGCGGACCGCGCTCCGCCGGCAAGGCTGCGCCCACGTCGCTGAAGTAGCAGGGGAAGCCGAAGGAGGGGGCGCGGCATCTCGTGGCCGCGATAGCCGGCGGGGCGACCCACGTCACTGAAGTAGCAGGGGAAGCCGAACGAGGGCGCACGGCATCCTGTGGCCACGGTAGCCGGCGGGGCGACGCGGCATCGCTGACTCTGCATCCACCACCGTCCCTTTGAGTCTCGCGTGGTGGCCGGCAGGGTGACAGGAGGAGGGGCACATGTTGCTTGCTGCTCATGGCACTGCTGCGCCCAGGCTCTTCCTCCTCGACAAGTCTAGGTGAGAGCCACCAGCCCCCGCACTTCTCCACCCCCGTTGCTTTTCCTGTTACGACCCTGCGCCGCTATTGTGCTCCTTCTCTACCTCCACCATAGCTCTCGACAGGAGCACGCTACCGGCTGCAGCAGCCCTCCCCCCTCTCTCTCGATTTGATCCCCATAATTCTCATATTTATTTGTGTGGAATCTGCTTTATCTATGCCTGCTATGTGTTCGACAAAAATCCAAGCAAGCTGAGGGGAAGATTTTGTGCTTTGTTTTGTACTCAGTTATTTCATATTTCCCTGAAATTTATCTCCAATGAACTGAAATTGTTTGGCATCCATTTTTTTTCCTGCAGGTCATTCCTCATCTCATCTGACCGCACTCATGCCACATAACCTGGTGAGCTTACTCTTTAGTCAATTCTATGTACCAGTTCTGTAGCTTTATTCACTGAACTGAGAGATGATGTTTGCGCTCAGTTAGATGATGCGTGCTCGATTTTGAGCATGCTGGTTGCAGTAATCAATCTATTTGATATGGGGCCTATAAGCTATCCTTGGTTGATGTTTGGTTACAAATCCTGGAGCTATTTTTGATGTATTGAGAGACATTTGTTAGAAAAAATATTACCCATTATCACCTTATTTGGCTATAATTCATCTTTGCCATTAGTTCTGTTAGTAAAATGGACTGAGAATGTTTGTGTATTTTTTATGCCTTGGCATCTTGCAGCTACAGCCGCGCGCTGTGTGTGGCGAGGGATTACTTCTCATGTGCAGTAATACCCTTTTTGGAGTGTCCCATGTTTGCAACTATCCTTATCTGCAGAGAAAAACAAAGGGACAAACAAAGTAAGCTGAAATGTCTTATCCACTTGGCTATGGTTTTTTGTACTGATGTGATTTGGCTTGACTGAATTAACTATTTTCTGTATGCCCACTTTTGTGTCTCATGTGTTGTTTAGATGTTGAGGGCCGTTCTTTCATATGTAGGTCCGGATGCAAGGTGCAAGGCAGGAAAGGCAGTAGTGGGTCGAGAGAAGTGTAGAAGAGGGTTCCTCCAGGCTCCATCCATGTACGGTGTCGGTCCGATGCCTCGGGTATATTTCTGCTCTTCCTTCATTTCTTCATCTTCAGTTGATGAATCATCCCTCTGCTGTCTTATTGAAGGCATGTGGCAATGTCGGGGACCAGCGAGGAAGATGCTGGTGTACACCCTTTGGAATAAAGTTGAAGTAAGCTCTAAGCACCACGGAGCCTACCACGCACGC